ACCTCGATCAGTCCTGCCGGAAGGCATCGACCCCAACGGCCTCGCAGTCGGGGAAGGGCGCCACATACTGGGAAAGGTGCCGTGACTAAGCCGACGCGAAGAGGTGCACCTCAGGGCTTCCGAACGTCTGGCAAAGTCAACGGAAGGAGTCAGCGTCGACCGTCCATTCCGTGGAGAGGGGAACGAAACGAGACAGGCCGTCGGCCAAGACGTTGTACACTCCCCGCACATGAACTGCCAGGAGAGCCAAACCCCGAGAACTCAACAGACGAGTCACCCAAAGTGACCAGCGCCAAAGAACCAAGGACTGCATCGAACCTTCCACCCGGTTCAGACAATGAACCATGAGGGAGCAGTCCGAATGGAGCCGGATCGTCAACCTGCGGGCGACCCAAAGCCCCCGAAGAGCAAACCACACCGCCGCGAATTCCCGCACCGTAGTCCTGAGGTTCCGGGTTCGATCCCCGGTGAAGGTGGAGACAAATGGGCAAAATGTTTCTTTCACCCTGTTACCTAGCAGTAAATAGGTACCTGGGAGTTAGTCAGCTGCTACGGGCTGCTTTCTGGGGGGTGGAGACCTGGTCGAAGACCAGACTGGGGGGACACTTAAGCCCCGAAATTATCTCACGATAACCTGAAGATAACTGTGCTGTAGGCTTGACGGAAAGACGGACCCCACCATCCCTGGCCGGCCTGGTGAGCACTTGTCACATAGCCCCAGCCAAGGGACGATGCGTCCGTGAACCAACCCGCTCTTGCACAAGACAGTACATATATGACTTATTGCTTATAGTCAATACTTTGCTTATTAATAAGTACATATGTGGTATATGCTAAGTTCTAGTTTGTTTTAAAAGTACAAACTCTTCCTACCGATTCGCTATCCACCAGTTTTAATATTAGGAATTTCCTTTCAGTTTTATTAAACAGTGATTTTAAACAAAATTTGACAGTATCCAGAGTTACTTTACAATTTATTGATATATTTTAGTTTTGTTTTATTATTTTTATAAAACTGTAATAACAATATAGGTATAAGTTAAGTATTAATTGTAATTAAGAAGCAATAAGATGCTTATCTTATCATACTAAGAAGGTTAGGTTAGGGCAGTGTTTTCTATTCAGCTTTTCAAGGTAAACTCAAATATTCACAATCAATTAGCATGTCACATATGCACTTATTCATAAGCAAGATATTGACTATAAGCCAGTGCGAGAACGGGTTGCGTGAACACATCAAGTGAGGGCTCGGGTAGGCACCAAGGCACTGAACCCCCCAAAACCCGAAGAGGAAGCCGTCGACACAGCAACCGACGCAAGTCCCCCGGGGTCCGAACCCAGCGATCGCTTGAGAGGCGGAAGAGACGTCCCCGAAGGAACCAGAACAGCCAACAAAGCCAAACCTGACCCGGTGGGTAGACCAGCATCACGAAGTTCAGGCTCCCACACAGACCCTTGTGCAACCGCCGGGTGATCCGGGAGCCCCCCAGAAACAGGTGCATGCGGGACTGCAGCCGCAGGAGAGACTCCGTTGGAAGAGAAAAGGAAGTGGTCCGAAAGTCCCACACAAGACCCAGCCATGCCCGAACCTGGGAGGGAAGCAGATGGGACTTCCTCCAGTTCACCAAGAACCCGAACTCGGCGAGCTGAGAAAGAACCAAATCCTTGGTAAGCAGACAAGAGAACAGGCTCGGAGTCCAAACCAGACAGGCGTCGAGGTAGGCCAACACCCGAACACCTAACAGACGCAGACGGGCCACCACGACCCGGGTAAGGCACGTGAGCACGCGAGATGCCAGGTTCAACCCGAACGGGAGACAACGAAAGCGGTAACCTTGACACCCCACAACAAAACCAAGCCACTCCCTGAACCCCGAATGAATCGGGAGATGCCAATAAGCGTTCCGGAGGTTCAGGGACACTATCCAAGAGCCCAGCTCCAACAGGAGCCAAACCTGGGACAGAATAGTCATCCGAAAGGAGCGGCAATGAACCCAGGGGTTCTGACGGGACATGTCCAGAATAAACCGCAGGTCCGCGCAGTCCCGTTTCGGGACTGGAAACAGACGGGGAAACTCATCTGAGGAACATCATCGTTTCGACCACGCCCTAGCGAACCCACTCCAAGATGACCTGACAGAGTGCAGGGGAGGAGGCCTGCCCTGCCAGCCCCAAACCCCCCCAAGGGGGGGGGGTGGCAACCCAACGCCACCAGAGGCTGCACACAACGACCCGAAACACCCACGAATCGTGGGACCAGGCATGAGTGAACAACACAGGCCTCCCCCCATCGCCCCATCAATGGGGTGAACCGTGAAAGGGCCGGCGCCCCTTACGAGACCCAGAACCACATGCACAGCGAACAGTAAGCCGACCAGACGAAGACAGGTCCGAAGGAGGAGCTGAACTTGAACCCGACACCAGTGGCCTACCACGACGAGAGGAACCCCAAGCCTTGGCACGACCCTTCTGGGAAGGCCCACCATGGGACCCCCGGAGAACCAGCAAGTCCGACATAGGACGGCAAGAAGCCGAAGCAGCCTGAATATACTGTGCAACGGCTGAAGCCTCGAACAAGAGAGGACAAAAAGGGCGAAGACATCTTAAGAGCCAAGGCCTAAGCGGATTCCACAGAAGAGGCAAGCACCGCCTGCCAACACACGAGCCGGGAAGCATAAAACAGCGCAACCGCATCACGCAAGTTCGGCACGAAAAGTTTCAGCAAGGCAGCCGACGAGCGAGCCGCTGAGGCTCGCTCGGCAGCTCGCCGAGGGAACCTGCATATGGAGCTGAATGACACCAACATTCTGGGGAAGGGTAGAAGCAAACAATCTCCCATTGAAGTGCTCTAGGTTGCCCCCCAGAAAAACCTGCAGCACTGTCGAAGCCTCCCAACACTCAAGCATGCGGGAACGGCAGAAGGAGTACCAGGCCTCCAAGGTAAAGACGGGACTGTCCGCCAGCCAGGACGACTTCAGAATCTCGTAACGGAGCCAGAAAGGGAACGAAGTCCCAACCCTGAAAACCGAGGGATCCATTGCAGAGGCATAATCCGGGTCACGCAAGAGGTTTGCCGCAAGGGCCGCCTGCATCGCAGCAGGTTGGATGCGATAAGCCGAAAACTTCCGGAAAGACGGAACCGAAGCACCCAGGGAAACACGGAACTGAACCAGGAGAGGGGCAGACAAATCCAACTCGTATGCAGATGGGGGGTAAAAGAAAATCCCACTCCTTGTAACAGTAAGTCCCGCTCAGAGGACAGAAAACCCAGGCGGGGTCCAGCGGGGACCAAGGCCCCCAAGTAAGCCCTTCCAAGCCCCAAGGTCCTACTCCGCAGGACCCGGGGCCGAGTTCTCCCCCCAAGCACTGACCCCGCCGGACAGAAGGGGGCCCACTGGTCAGACCCCAGAGGCTTCGGCCAGGGAAGTGGACTCTAATGCCTCCTTCACCACACCAGAAGGGGCATCCCCCGAGGCTGCCCAAGTCTCAAGACCAACTAACCCCTGCCCCGACTCTGAAACCCTCAGACATCTCAGGGCCGGAAGCAGGGGAGGGGGGACCAAAACGAACAACAGGAGGGGAAATACGAGGAGGTGCGGACTGAACCAGGGTCAAAGCGACCCCCACCCCAAATTCCGGGCCCCTATAAGCAAAACGGGGCAGCGGCAGGGCATCTGCATGAGCAACGAACCGAGCACAATGCAACAAACGAAACCTAGAATGCAATGCCTGCGCAGCCTGTACCCGAAGATGATCATCTGCAGATTGGGTAAATTGAGTCGCCAACAAGCAGCAAAACTCACAGGACTCGGGGTCGAAAGTATCACCGACCCAACAGGCAGCATGACTGAGGCAAAAACCGTGAGGGTCGCCCTGAGACAAGGGGACCGAACAACCCTCAAACTCGCATGAAGCGAGGGGGGAAGGGAACTCTGGGGTCGCATCCACCGGACTCACACGTCCCCTAGGGGATTCCCAGGGTCCGGAGCGTTTACTGTAAGAGGACTCGTGCTCAGGTAAACCCAGGCAGGGTACTGCTAACATGCGCCCAAAACTACCAAACAAACTATCTACAGCTGAACCCCAGGGATGTGTATGCTCACGGGGACCTAGCAGGGGGCACCACCAAGTATCAGAATGAGGCCAAACACCAATGGCAAGTAGGGCAGAACCCCCTACCAAGGCAAAAACAAAATTTAAAACAAAACCCCGCAAGAGGACAATGTACCCCAAGGAACAGAGCCGGCCGCTGTGATTGGCGACGACAAGCTTCACAGTACCCCCGCGCCCCTTACCAGTGCAAAACTGCCTCCTACCCCAAGGTAAACTAGGGAGACAAAACACCAAAGTACCCAAAGTGCCTCCGAAAAACCGAACAGTTAAACAGAACCACAGATGCAGATCCCAAGGAACCTGTGGAAGGTAACCCCAAGCTCCAAGGGCAGTACTTACAGGGCACCTAAGTAATGGCAAGTAATGTTAGGTCCACAATATTGTGGGACCAGCAATCTTTTGTGAAGCTCTTGTTCAACAGCACTTACAGCCAGATATATTTCAAATCACTCAGCTCAAGTCTCTAGAAAGAAATCACTGATTTCAAAAGCCTATTTATCCCATTATAAATTTTTAACTTTTAAAACTTTTATTGTGTCAGGGGGACAGGAAGCCAGAGTGTATTCATACACGTTAGACTTTTTATCGAAAACTTGTACGAAGTACAAGCTCTGTATATGTCCTCAAAAACCTGGTATAACACCAAGTAATGCAGTCCTCTGAAGAGGGCTTACTAATTCCCATTAAAATTGTTATATTTACCCACTTCATTAGTAAGGACGAGTAGAAACAAGTTCGTTCATGCCCTTCTACTTTCTAAGTGTCTATGTCAATAGATGTACAATGGTCCACATCATTACTATAAATATCTAAAGAGAATGGGCTGTCTAATGTAAAAATCTAATTCAATATACCCTGTACTTTAATTACAATTTAATAATTCATACCATTTGAGTTATAAATTCAATGACAAGATCCTCTAGAAGATCAACACTCTCTGTGTATGGATTCTGATCATCTCCAAATCCATACATCATGCATCGAAGCTCCTTCGAAAAGAGTCGTTTCCGTCCACCTGTTCCAGAGGAAATGACAGCTTCTGACTGGGTCTCCCCAGTCTCCTCCTCTTCATACTGAAAGAAATCGTCGCCATCATTCTGCGAGAGAGAGGGAAAGAGGGGGGCGGGGGAGGAAAGAGGAACAAGAGAAGGATATTGGAAAGAACAGTATCAAAGAGCAGGAAAACAGGATGAAGCAAGTATTGAATGAAAAAAAAGAGAATGTAGAAATTCAAAATAATGAAATTGTAGATGTAAAAATATTGAAGTACGAATAATGTTATGAATAGAGTGCAATACGAAAATGTATGGAGTAAAATCATATGAAATAGAAAATTAAAACCCCACCAAAGAAGAAAATATGAAATATTCAGAATAATAGCGCAATTTTAAAAATCAATAGGATTAAAATATACAAGAATTTAACAAGTCACATTGGCATTTAAGCAAAACATTAAAGCCATTTCAAGAGAGCAGATGTAAAGGCAGCAAAATGATAAAAAATGATGCGCAACCGACCCATGATAAGCAAAACGTATAAATATGGTGTAACAAGAAACACCGCATTACGTATCAGAGTTACACCAAAAAGCAAAATTTAAAACAAAAATAATTATTATTTGGCAAAAGAAAGATTATATGAATTGACATAATATGCCAGATAAGTTAATTAACAAGAAAATACAAAGCCAATGATGTTAGCATGTGGTGATAAAGTTTGTAGAGTAAAGGATGTGTATAAAAAAAAAATCCCAAGATCAATTATATTTGTTCAGCATAAATCGAGGAGGAGTTAGTGTGACAGGTTAAAAGGCAGGAAAGTGAAGTATATTGGAGGTATAGATCACATGAGGTCAATGGGACAAGGATCATATCAAATCAGGTTGGTTCAGAATTTAGGATCATCATATATTATGATGAACCCAATGTAAAGCCATTAATAGAAATTACCAATATAATGATAGTATTTCATGGGTAATTGGATAATTAGATCATATTTTAGCATTCACATGATTGAATACAGAAGTCACATTTTCATGTACAAAAATGTGCAGCATGGCATAGTGCAAAAAGCAATGCAAAAAAATTAGTTTAAAGGAAAAGTGAATTCAAATATTTAAGGAGCAAAGCAGAAGCATTATCACACCAAACAACACCACATTATAAACATCAATGTTTTGCACAAAAAAGATACGGAGTAGTGGAGTTGGCAGCCATGTGCAGTCACAAGATACAAAGCATAAGCCCCCAGAAGAATACAGACCAAAGGATCAAAGATGTGGGAAAAGAATAGGAAGATGGGATAAGGAGAGAGAACAAAATAATTAGAATGAAATGTGACAAAAAGCTGCATGCAAAAATTTAAACAAAACATTTTAAAAATTACTGACTATTTAAAGGGTTTTCAATCCTCCACAATTAAAGAACACCGATAACCAAGCCACAAGAAACTATTAATAACGATTCATGACAAATATAAATACAAAACTTGGCTTTAAAATTATTGATCATTTCTATGTTTTGTATAACCATCCATCATAAGCAATAAACCACCCATCCATTATGATTTTTACTTACAAAAAGTTAAGGGTTAATTTATAAATATACTACCACAAAATGGACTTAATTCCTCATTTAAAATATTAGAGAATAGTTCTAAGCTGTATATTCCCACAATGTTAACAAGAAAACTAGAATATCTTTAGGCAACCTAAAGTTGGATTCCCCAAGAATTGTCAGCAAAAATCTCATGGGCATTGAAAGTGGCCTTTAAATAATTTCATGAACACAAGTGTACAGGGAGCAAATGCAGTACATGGATTGCAAATTACATTTTCTTCATTTCTACTTTTAATGAAAGAATCTCATTCAAAATGTTAAATTAAAAAAACAGCGGTGAATGTAATAAAAATTTTCTGGGCGAGACCCGGAGGCTCCCTGGAGCTATCCAAGCTGATATGGATATATTAGACTTTGGCATTAGTCAATGTGCATGGAGTTCCAGGCCTACTAGGGACCACAAGCCAGAACCTGGCTCCCTCAGAGGCACAAGGAGCAATGGCCTATAGAAACGCCCATGTGGTTGGAAGCATTCTATGTCTGCCATCCAGTGGGTCAGACACCCAGAAAGGTAAGCGGCCAAAACAAACCCCTATTCTGGTTAACATTGCTACTGAAAGTCAAACTAGTGGATGAAAATGAAAAAAACGAGCAAATGAGCATGATGTTACCACGCCACTGTCTGTGCAACCTCCCCTCCCCGGGATGGGGATGGGGGAGCCACAGACCCCGCACCGGTTACCCATACCCTAGTTCCGAGGCTGGAAATTAAAACACAAGAAAAAAATGCCGACCGGAGGAAGGGAGGGTTGCCGGGGAGCCTCTGGGTCTCGCCCAGAAAATGGGGTTTCATTACATTCAACGCTGGTTTTATGGAAGGAGCCCCTGCAGCTTCCCTGAGCTACTTACCCAAAGACCAAACCAAACAATAGGGACTTACCCGGGAGGCGGTCGGCTCTTGCTTCTCAACTCAAAGTCGAGACAACTGGCCGCAACCGCACAACACATAAAGCACTCCCCGGCCTAAACAACCGAGCATCAACAACCCTAGGACCTCTCCAGAAAGCAGCAGACTCAGTCTTCACCAGAAAAGAAGGAGACAGCTGCAAACTAACAAACCTACCACCAGCGCCAAAAGAACAAACTCCCTGCGTCGGAGGCGAGCATGTAGCTCCCCGACCCGACCCCCCCAGAGGCCAATGCCAACAGGAAAAAAGCTTTAGAAAAACAATCCTGAACTGAAGGGGCCACAACAAACCGAGGAGAAAGGAGAGCACCTGGTCCAACGACCCAAACTGCTCAGGAGGTGCATGAGCAGGCCAGAGGAGAAAACGCAAGAGACAGCTTGAGGAGTGGAGAAGAACGAACCGAACGCAAGCTGCAGTGGCTCCACCAACGCCGCATGATATGAGGCAACAGTATTCAGCAGAAGACAATGGTCCTGGAACAACCACAAAAGGAAGGACATGACAACCCTATCTGAGACAGAAGTACACCTATGCAGAGACAAGAAATAATGGAAGGACCGCCAGGAAATTACATACTGCTGTCGAGACGAAGCACGCATGTGGGACACCCTCGACGAAGCCACCTGCGCACCATAAAAGTGATAATAGACCCGAGTCAAAAAAGCCCAGACGTGAAGACTCTAGGAGAAGAGTGAACCAGCCACGTACCTGGTGGGACTGATCAGCTGAAAGAGGTGGAGCCGTGGGAAGACCCCTTGGGTTCGAACACTGAGCCACAAACACCTGAAACCAAGGTTGGGCCGGCCACCAAGGGGCCAGAAGGACAACTCTCCACTGGTAAGTCTCCAAGCGAGCAAGGACCTGGAGCAACAGCTGTACCGGGGAAGAAGAGGTATAGGTAACTCCACCTCGCCCAGTCCTAAATGAAGGCATCGACCCTGACAGCCACATAGTTGGGAATGGGCGCCACATAACGGGAGATGCCGCAACTACGCCGATGCGAAGAGGTCCCCTTCCGGAGGTCCATATGCCGGCAGAGTCAAGTGAATGAGTCGGTGTTGACCGCCCATTCCATGGACAGGGGGAATGAACCGGGACAGGCCGTCCGCCAGAACGTTGGACACCCCCGAACGTGAACGGCAAGGAGAGCCAAACCTAGAGAATTCAGCAGACAACTCGCCCAAAGCAACCAGCCCCGAAGAGCCAAGGACTGCATCAAACCCCCTGCGGGTCAGACAATGAACCACCAGGAAGCAGTCCGAACAGAGCTAGATCGTCGATCCGCGAGCTAGCTGAACCCTCCGAAGTGATATCAACACAGCTGCGAACTCCCACACCCTGCTGCGAGGCCAATGGAAGGACAGCCCCCAACTGTCCCTGGCCAACCTAGTGAGCACTGGTCACAAAGCCCCAGCCAAGAAACAACGCATCCGTAAACACATCAAGAGAGGGCACAGGGAGGTGCCAAGGCACTGAACCCTGAAGGGGAAGCTGGTGATGCAGCAATCGACGCAAGGCCCTCCAGAGGACGAACCCAATGAATGCGAGAGAGGCGGAAGGGACGTTCCCGAAGGAACCAGAGTAGCTAATGAAGCTAAACCCGATCAGGCAGTTAGACCATCATGTCAAAGTTCAGGATCCCGCACAAACTCTAGCTACAGTCTTGTGACCCGGGAACCCCCAGAAACAGGCGAAGGCGGGACCGCAGCTGAAGCAGAGTGTCTGGAGGGAGAGACAAGAAAGCAGTCCAAGCATCCCACACAAGGCCCAGCAAAGAACGAACCTGAAAGGGAACCAGATTGAACTTCCTCCAGGACACCAGGAACCCGAACCCGGCGAGCTGGTAATAACCACATCCCTGGCTAGCAGACACGTGGCCGATCCAGGTAAGGAGTGTGAAAACGTGAGGTGCCAGATTAATGCCGAATGTAAGGCAACCCTGATGCCCACAACAAAACCAAGCCAGTCCCTGAAACCTAGACGAATCGGGACGCTTAATCATCTGAACCTCAGATGAATAAGCGTCCTTGAGGTCCAAGCACCCAGCTCCAACAGAAGACAGACCTGGGACAGAGGAGTCATCTGAAAGGAGGAGCAATAAACCCATGGGTTCAGATGAAAACAGTCCAGAATGAAACTGAGGTCTGCGCAATCCTGTTTTGGAACCAGAACAGGAGAGATCCAACCCGAGGAACGAGGTCTTTGCGACTACGCCCAAGCGAATCCACTCTGAGGTGACCTGAATGAGTGCAGGAGAAGAGGCCTGCCCCCCTGCCTACCCTGAACAAGGAAGGGCAACCCAATGCCACTGCAGGCCGCACAAAATGACCCGAAAGGCCCACAAATCATGGAACCAGTTGCGAGCAAACAGAGTGAGTCTCCCCTCTCTATCGCCCCCTCAATGGGACAAACCACGAAAGGGTCGACGCCCGACAAGGATCTGACCTCTGCACAGAGCAACCACCGCACCGACCAAACGAAGATGGTCCCGAAGACTGCGCTGGCCTTGAAACTGGCACTACTGGCCTACCACGATGGGAGGGAACCCCACGCCCTGGCATGATCCATCCG